TTAGCCTGCTGGGCAATGAGCTGGGATTTATCCAGGGATGCATTCGTGCAGAGCCCCAGTGTGGTTTGTAAGCAGTAGCTTAATACCATGCCAAAAATTACCCCGGGAGTGGAGTGTCGGTGATGATCAAAGTACCGTGTGACAGCCAAGCTGGGTTAGCGTTGACTATAGCTGAAAATGCCAGCGACGTATCACTTCACTAAGTTCAGCGAAGAGATATTTCAGAATTACATAAAAAATTCATACCCAATTAAACACGAGCGAAGTACCTTTAAAAACAAGTGCATCTGTGTGTTCGCTGTTCTTTGTTTAAGCGGGAAATGCATAAGTCGCTTTAACAATAACATATACGTCGATAAACACCGTTGTGGAAAAAGACGAATCAGTTAATTATCCAACGGAATTTTTGAGCTCGATTGATCTTCCAGGGATGACCCCACATACTGAATTGAAAATAGGTGTGCCAAATATCACGTTGCGGAATATTAATCAGCTAAAACTCCGCAACGGTACGCGACTCGCAGTTAAGAAATTGATGCAGAACGTAGAGTAAGTAAAGATTTTTACGTGGCCTTTCAAAGGTGAAGAATTCCCATGATTCCGACAGATACACGATTTCAATTTTAAAGACTGCAATTTCCAATTCGATTGACATTCGGAATCACAATCACTAATGCTCAAGGTTATCCTTTGGAAAAGTGTGGTTTAGAGTGAGATGCGGATTAGTTCTTAGATGTTGCGTGTTCCCGTGTCGGCAAACCAGATATCCTTGATATCAATGCAGAGATGGGAAACACGACAAATATTATGTGCACACAAGTACTTATTACAAAATCAAACTCATATGAAACGTATGCTTTGTTTCGTTAATAATTTATCATCCATGTAACAGGAATGCCACAGCAAAGCGTGGCAGGGTATAGCTAGTCTTATATATAAAAATAAGTGCACGTTTTTGGTGTGACCTCATAACTTGAGAACGGCTTCACCGAATTCAACCAAATTTATGTGGTATATTCGATCTATCATGCAGATGGTTTATGCAAAGTTTTCCCGAATTCGGAAAAGGGGGCGTGGCACCACCAATACTAACTAAAATATAAAAATAAGTGAACGTTTTTGGTGTGACCATATAACTTGAGAACGGCTTCACCGGTTTCAACCAAATTTATGCGGCATATTCGGGCTATCATGCAGATGGTTTAAATATGTGAAGTTTGCTTGATTTCGGATAACGGGGCGTGGCGCCTCTTATTTTTGGTCCCTGTTTTGAAGTAATTTCCGATATTATAAGCAATGCAGTTTTGTGGCACAATCCGTACAGCTGAATGATGTGGTTGTATGAAACGCTCAAAATTTTTAAATTATAAAAGAACAAATTTCCTTTGACTTTGATGTAACTTGGAAAAATATTTGGCGCCTTCACGCAGTCTTGAATGCTTTGCCTTACCACCATTAGCAAATTTCTACATATCTTATATATGAAGCGCATCTTCATGATCACATTTTCCATTTCGTGTATGTATAACCAGAAGATATCTTAAGTGAAGCCATTCTAAGAGACTTACCCAATAAGGGCTAAAAAAGTAGGGCTTCGGAGCGGAGCAGAGCAAAGGAGCAAAAGATTTTGGGTAGAGCGGAGCTGGAGCAAAAAGCTATAAAAATTCATTTTCTCCTTAGCTCCTTAAAGAAAATTAAATTTACTTATTTTCTTATTTTTCCCACTGAAAAACCTTGTTAAATAAATTGTCATTCTTTTTTACTTGACAATACTGTTCATTGCTAAGCTGACCAACCGTCCTCCTTTGAGGAGGATTGTCCTCCTCAAACGTGATTTGCCCTCCTCAAAAATTTTGTCCTTCTCTGTTCTCCTTTTGAGCAAAAATGTCCTCCTTACCCTCCTTTTCGAGTTTTATAGCATTAATGAAATTTTCGAAAAGTTTCGTTCAAAATATTATTATTTTCCAATCGTACACATTCATTGTATTTAATAGGCGTATACATTGTTTAAATTGCAGTTAAATGATGTAAACTTTTGATTCAACTAATCGCCTGTGAAAGTTGAACAGTGTAACCGCCTTTTAGCCTTAATCAATAACATCCCAATAAACACCAACAAAATATTTCTCCAACCTTGGAGAAATTCATAGTTCTCAAGTTGATATCCAACATCATTCTCTAACTCATCTCTAACCGACGCGCAGATACGCAAAAAGTAATAGTGCAAAAATTTTTAATTATCAAGTAAAAAACGAAAGCTATATAAAGACGAAAATTACCAACAAAAAGTAAATAATCTTCAAAGTATCCTCAAATAATCTTGAGAGAAGATAAAACTCGAAGTGAATCAAGTGGTAAAATTACTGTCGGCCTGTATACTGTGAAGTGAATTATTGTAATTCTATATTGATTAACTACATAATACAAAAGGAGTAATAAAATGAAAAATTAATATTTAAATTCATCTATGTATGTCGTTTCAATCAAAAAGGTATAATGTATTTTACTATTTTAATTTCAGTATTTCAATGATATGTTTGAGACCAATTGGAGAATTACATTAGAGTTCAAGTTGAGAACTAGCATTTTCTCAACTTGAGAAACAGTCATTTTTTCATACAAAGAAAAATGCCCTTTTTGTTGAGAACGCTATGATCCTCCACTTGAGGTACTGTTGAGAAACAACATTGGAGATTTGAGAAATACCTTAGTTCTCAATTAACCTCGAATTGAGCTCAAACCTAAATGTTTGTTGGGATTTTACCCTTTACAACATTGAAAGACTAGCTAACGACGCGTCTCCACAGGTGAAAGTTATTGCCTACCATATGAGTGAAAATCTCTCAAGTATATTTATGTTTATTACT